GATAAAGAAACCGGTTTTGGTTGTGAATGTCGGCGGTCGAGAATCAGTGGGTCCCTGCGCGAATGTTAATTTTAAAAATTTTAAGCGGGAATTTCAATATTATGTCAAGTAAATCCCTCTCTCTATTATATAGTAATAGATTTACGAAAAGAAAATTAATATATTTAGTTATTTACACACAAAATTCATAAATATAAATTATTTATGGAGGATTGAAGTTTATCAATATTTAGTATAACATCTATTATTCTGGTAATAATTTTTTGTTTGATAATACAACATTAATTTGAATGGAAAAAAAATCCGTAATAGTTGGGATATATCAATTCAAAATCTCAATTTTCTGGCACAAAAATTTTCAAATTTGTTACCAATACAAAAATATTTCTATGGGATTAATATTTAAAATGAATTAAATTTTGCTATAAGAATCTCCAAATGTGTTACCATAAGAATCATCAATTTTTTTGGGATATCTCAGTTAAAATTGATTTCCAAAGATTTACATGTGTTTTTCCGATATTTCCACTAATAGTAAGTCAAACCATTTATTTTTTTACTCAAACTTACTATAATTTCTTTTTTTTCCAACAACCTCTTTATATTATTATAGATGTTAAAATTTAATTTTGTTCGCCCCATATTATAATCTACATAAAATATATTAATACAAAATAAAATCTATATATGAGTTTATGTCCCGCGTTTCAATGGGACTCCCTGGCAGTACGGTGCTGAATTCTCGGGCTTTTCTAGCACGCACGGCCTGTTTCGTTTCATATAGCAACAGGATGATTAAGAATTTTAATAATAGCGGGTGAAGCTAATACTTGGAATAAGTAAGAACGAGTGAAGCTAATACTTGGAATAAGTAAGAACGAGTGAAGCTAATACTTTCTTTGCTGTGCTATCTCAAGAGTTTAGCTTAGAGCAACAATAAAATTAAAATTTAAAATTATTTAATAAAATAAGTTATTTTTTTGATGTATATTTTATCAATAATCGTTAAAGTAACCTAACATCTCTCTTGAACAAGTTATATCATTGGTTAATTGTTATATATATTTTCTCTGTTTCAAGATGAACAATTAACTCCCTTGGTTCCTGAGATTCTAATTCTCTCGCAAGATTCTATAGTCTCCTAGGTTATCAATCTTTGAATTATAGAAATCGATTATGTCCTCTTGGTGTCAAGTCAATCACAAATATGCATAAATACGAGCCCTATATTCACAAAATAAATATAAGCACAAAATTAACAAATGAAGGTAAATCGAAATTAATAAATAAAACTCTTCATAAAATAATCCGACTACTCACAAATCCTAGAATCTCAAAAAGGTTTAGCTACGAAACATATTCTCAAATGTCGAAATAAATAAATTCACAAGTTCAATGAAGAATAAAAAGAGAAAATAAAGAAGAACTATTGTTGTCGTATAGTTCTCAATCTTCAATCTTGACTCCTTCAGATCATTCGTGTGTCTTGAGCTTTTTCATGGCCTCCAAAATTGGTAAATGTCCCCTGACCATATTCCTTAGGTCCCCTTTTGTAGTGTAGGTCGAGTATATGTTGAAAAAAGGAAGAAATCGCATTAAAATCCTTATTCCTCACGGGCTGGACTTTACATCACTCGACTTGTGTGACTTAATGGTCATAGCCACACGAGTCGTATGGCTCTTATTTTCAAATTTCGCAGCCTGGAAAGCCTTTCCAGGCTCACACGACTCGTGTAACTTAATATCACTTATCACAAGAATCGTGTAAACAAGTCGTAGCTAAAATCTTATTTTGCCCCGCCAAATGACTCGTGTGGCCTATGGACCACATCACACGAGTCGTGTAGCCTATTGTGCACCTAATCTTCGTCGTTTTTCCTTCCGCTATTCCAATACTTTTTTGGACATGTTTCTTGCAAAAACTAACAACAAATAATACCACTATCATAGATTAAAAAAATACAACATGTTTGCTTGATCCAGATGCCGAAAATCGCTCATACTGATGAAATATCAGAAGCTTCTGTTTTGTAAAATTTGTTGCTAGATTTTCGAGTGGAAGCCACAACTAATTTACTCATACAGTGCAAGACCATTGCCTTAAGGCATAGTACATTTGCAAGCCCTTGGGGCAGCATTTCTAGTAGGGTTGAGCATGAGACTCGTAGTATTTTGAACCGTTTCAAAAACCGAACCGAAATCACTCTGAACTGAAAAATAATCGTTGACTGTTTGACTTTCTCTGAACCGAACTGAACTGAAAAAATAATTGGTACGGTTCTAAAGATTTCACAAATATCCGTACCCAGAACCGAACCGAACCGTCCCATATTGTACCGAACTGAAGAATCGAAATTAAGAACTAAATTATAACATTAGATGTGTGTTATTAATATATTTTATGTCAACTTTGATCCTATATAATTTGAGATTTTTTAAAATGCAAATAAAATATAGTACTAACAATTAAATTTCACTTAAATTTCATGCTTAGTAATACTTGATCTACAATTGAACTTTTCCTGTTATAAACAATTATTTATAATGGTATGAAAGGTTAAAGAATATTTTTTTAGAAAAAACTATATTATATTTTATTTAAATTTTAAATTTTCAATATTAGTTGTACAAATTTAGTCTTAACTAAAATTTTAGAGACTAAAGTTGATTTCAAAATAAAATCTTTGATACGAGGAAGTATTGAATATTGGTTTTTTAAAGCATATAAAAGTTAATAACTAAACTTTAGAGTTACTTCTAAAATTGATTTCAAAATAAAATCTTCAATATGATGAAATATTGATGAATATTATTTTTTTAAAGCACATAAAAATTAAAATATAACTAGTTAGTCATTCAATTTTTTTTTTTTAAATAAGAAATCTCTGAAGATCCGAACTGAATCGAACCGTTCCGATAGTCCCAAATACCAAACCGAATTGAACCGAAAAATAAAAACCTCCGAACCGAACCGTTCCGATTTTTTGATACGATTCTGGAAATCGAATTTAATGCTCTCTGAATTTGGCACGGTTCTCGAGATTTCTCAATCTCTGAACCGTACCGACCCATGCTAAAGTTAGTTCCTCGTAGTGTATAAGCATTAGGTTTGTAACTTCCCTCAGGTGTGTTCCTTTTTCCGACACTGGACACAGGCTCAAGAAAAGTTCCAAACGAGATGAGATCGTTCTTCAGCAGTTGGAGGTCAGCAGCATTGACGAGATCGACATGTGGTGTCAGCAGCTGTGACACGTTTTCCAGCAAGTCTCACCGCACCATACGCCATCTCTGTCAATAAACTTCACAATGGTTTCAAGTAAAGAATAGTCAACTTCTTCTAAATATCAAAAGAAGAAGGTTGGAACTCACAATGACTAAATAAATCACAAGTTGCAATTATATTAGTATATTACTGTGAGCCCATTATAGGTATGGTACTTTCAAGTCTTCAGACAACACGTGCCAGTGTAAATTTAACTTACAATAATGTAATTGATCCTATACACTTGCTAATATTCTAATAGTTTATAACATAAAGATTATCACCAATGTGAGCTGTATGTGTGTGTTCTCTTTTTCTTTGATGTGAAGAACACAAAATTTAGGAGACTTCAGAACTTCAATCTGGACTTTACAGCTTCAGATTATCCAAATTCCCGACAATCACTAACAGATTTAAGAGCTACAGATGGCTTATGCTGCTGTGGTGTCTCTTATCCAGACTCTAGACCAGTTTCCTTCAGATCAATTTTCATCTTCTCATCAAGAAATATCACTCTTTAAATGTCTCCACACCAAGGCCCACACCTTGCTAGTTCTTCTCCAAAAAAAATTCCAAACCGGAGCAAACGAGCTTGAAGCCCAAATCCGAGAAGTGGTGTACGAAGCAGAAGACGCCGTAGAATCCCACGTCTCGACCCGTTACCTCCAGCCCGAATCCGTGGAAAGCTCCCCTGCAGCTGCCGAGATCTTCACTCACAAATTGCAAGTGCTGTTGCAAGAATTGGAATCTATCGAGAAAAGGCTAACTGCCATAGGATCCGACCGGGTTGACCAACGGCCAGAGATGACCGGGCCACGATCCGGCCCGTTAGTGGCCAGCACGAACAAGCTGCTTGTCGGGCTCGAAAACGAGCTGTCCCGGTTGAAAGGCAAGCTAGTCGGGGAATCTTCCCGACTGAATGTGGTGGCCGTGGTCGGGATGGCCGGCATCGGCAAGACCACACTCGTCGACCGGGCTTTCCATGACCCGTCGATCGGGAGGTTCTTCCACTACAGAGCCTGGGCAAATGTGGGCCCGGGCCGCGACCCGCGGGAAGTCATTGCGGAGCTCCTGGGGCCCACGGCTTCGAAGTTCAGCCAGGAGAGCAGCTACAGCCAGCTGACGGAGTTCATGTTTCGGAACCTCAAGGGCAGAAAATACCTGATCGTGCTCGACGGCTTGACCGAAACCGAGGCGTGGGACGACCTGAAGAGCCTGTTCCCGAACGACGACAACGGGAGCCGGGTCGTGCTCACGACCCGGCTGAGGAAAGTGGCTCTCCACGCGTCCGGATCTATCCGGAACATTCACGAGACGAGCTTCTTGGGCATCGAGGAGTGCTGGAATCTGCTGCGCAACATCGTGTTCGACGGGAAGGAGTGCCCGCCCGAGCTCATAAAGGTGGGCAAGGAAATTGCCGAGAACTGTCACGGACTACCTCTCACGATCGTCCTCGTTGGCACCATGCTATTTGGTGCCGAGAAGAGCCTCGCGTACTGGGAAAGAGTCGCGGATGGCCCGATATCGGCTATTTACGAAAGCAACGATGTCCGGCTGACGTCGGCCATGCAGCTTCTGAACGACGACAGCATGCCTCAGCATCTGAAAGCCTTCTTCATGTATATGGGCTTGCTCCCCTCGAACCACGAGATACCCGCCTCAAAGCTCGTTAGGCTGTGGATTTCTGAGGGATTCGTGGAGTGGAGTGGGCCGGAATCTCCGGAGGATGTGGCCGAGGAGCGTCTGGAGGAGCTCTTCAACAGGAGCCTCGTCTTGGTTCACAAGCGGAAATCGGCTGGCGGGATTAAAACCTGCAGCATCCACTCTGCCGTGTGGCATCTGTGTGTCAATGCTGCTGAGAAAGATGGGTTCTTTTGTGCCGTCACTCGTTATACAAAGGGGAGGAAGGCTTCTCTGCCTACTACTGCAAGAATTGGCCGCCGGCTTTGCATACGGAAGAACATCCTTCTTTCAATCAAGGACGTCAATCGTGCCATGTTGTCGGTCTCGAAAGCCCGCTCTTTTCTCTGCAGTGGTCGGGACCATCCGTATCCTTTAGCCGTTTGCTCGGATTTCGGTTTGCTCAGGGTACTTGACGTGCTCTCCATACGCTTCTACGAGTTCCCCACGGAAATACTAACATTAGTCCAGTTACGATACCTTGCGCTCACGTGCAGCGAAATCCCACCTTCATTGTCCGAGCTACGAAACCTCCAAGTCCTGATTATGCGTCGCCATACAAGGATCAAAGCCTCTGGAGCTGGCCCGTCGTATTTTCAGATGTGGAACATGAGACGCTTGAGGCATCTCGTGGTAGAGGGCGGCGACCTTCCACATCCACATGGCGCGGTCCTCATGGACCTATTGACTCTTTCGAATGTGACGAGCCATAGTTGTGGTGAGGACGTGCTGAGAGGAACTCCGAACCTGAAGAAATTAGGAGTTTGCATTGAGGTGTCGGAGCACGATCACGCTTCTGATCCCTCGCGCGTTTTCGACCATCTGGCGATTCTCGACCGGCTGGAGTCGTTCAAATGCGCGGTCGTGAACCCGAGTCGCCGTTCGATGGCAGTCGAGCGGCCTGACTCTGTCTCAAACTTCCCAGGCGCGTTAAAGAAACTGACGCTGAGCGGATGCCGATTCCCATGGGAGGACATNAATCATAATTTAACATGTCATTCATAAGGAGGAAATATCGAGAGCTTAATCCCCCTGCCTCCTCCTCCACAGTCCCCTCTGTTTTGCAATATTTGCTGCTGGATTTTTCTAGCTGAAGCCACAGCCGATTTACTCAGACGATGCAAGACCATTGTCTCGAGACATGGTACATCTGCAAGCACTTGGGGCAGCGATTCAAGTTCCTCACAGTTTCTAACCATTAGGCATTTAAGCTTAGGAAATTCGTGATCCGAAGCTTCCCAAGAAACTATGTTCGTGTACCCAATGTGCAGCACTTCAAGGCTACGAAAACCACCGGGGCCCACCTCCCAGCACCGACCCACAAACGCGTTGTCTTTCAGCTTGAGCACCTCGAGATTCTCCAGCATTCCTACAATAGGCATCTGCTCCCAACCGAGAAAAGTGGCAGATAGCGTCAAGCTCCTAAGTTTCGGGGGGAATTTATCTGGAGGAGGAAGACTGAGTGGGGTCATGATATAATGTATGTCATCATTCAGCAGCTTCAAATTCTCGAGGTCATTTAGTACTCCTAAGTTGTCAAAATTCATAGTGGCAAGTATCCCCCGAATGCCTAATTTCTTGAGGTGATGTGCCCGCTCGAACAAGCGGAGGGTGCAATCTTCAGGTGATATGTTGGCTAGCGTCTGAAGATGCTGGCCACCTCGGTTTTCGCCAGCTACTGGTTTTTTGTGAAAAGTAATTGACGCGTTTGTCCTCAAGTCTCTCAGCTGGACCATCGACCTCCAAATATCGGCTTTGATTGCCAAAGTACGAGACGATGTATGGATTACGAGAGTCATCATTTTGCTTAGCCTGGAAACGGCTTCCGGAAGGACTTTGAAGTCACTAGAGAGGACCACGTACTTGAGAAAGACGAGTTGAGTCAGCCCGAGTGGGAATATTCTGAACACGAGGGGCTTCACATGTAAAACCTTCACCAACTCGAAGGCCCCCGGGATTTTCGGGATGTCCTCTGTCGGCATGGCGATTTCTTCTCCGGAGAAAGAAAGGAAAGAACGAGTGCCTGGGGCGTATGGCTCTGGAGAGAAGAATTCCAGGACATTGGAATGAATGCAAATGCGGCGGTGCTGATCGTTTTGAGAAGGTTTGATGAAAGTTCCATCGCCATTTTTTGTCAACACTTGGAAGAGATGCTCTTTCCCCTCGGACTCTACTTTACAGAAGTCGTGCACTGTGTCATGAATCCGGCACGTCTTGACCTCACCGTTGCTTTTAAGTTTATCAACGATGACCAAGTTGCGGTCGATGAGATCTATTAGATTCTCGTGTGCTCTCTCCTCCAAGCTCTGTCCCTGCCTTGGTCGAACGAACCCCTCGGAAATCCATAGCCGGGTCAATGTCCAAGCCGGGATCTCATAATCCTCCGGGAACACCCCCAAATAAAGAAAGCAGTCCCTCAACTCGTCACACATTCCATCATAACTCAATTCCAAAACACTCCTGAAAACATCCGATCCACCACTAGTGTACATGTCTAGGCTTTGGGATAGCTCTATCCACGACTTCACGATGGCAACACATGTTTCTTCATTCGAGATGTAGTCCATAAGAATCCCTGCTATCATCAACAGCAGCATCGGTATTCCTCGGCACCGTTGGCTTATATGCCTTCCCAGCCCTTGCAGCTGCGGAGGACACTGCCCGTCCTTCTCGAATACTTTGAACTGAAGGAGTCGCCAACCTTCGTCATTCCTCAAGAAACGCAGCCTCTGGGGATAATAATGTTCGATCCGGTTGAAGATTTTGTGACTGCGGGTGGTGACAAGGACTTGACCCTTCCTGTTGTTGGTGGGTAAGGCAGACGTGATTGTAGACAATGCCTTGGCAGTCCATACATCGTCCAGGACCAAAAGGAACTTCCTCTCTTGTAGAGAGGCATGAATAGCTTTGGCCAGGTCAGAGGTCGTCTCTTTGGACATGTCCTTGCTCGTGAATTCGTGGAGGATGCCGAGAAAGATGGTTCTCAGGTTGAAATCTCGAGAGACAGAGGCCCATATTCGGGTGGGGAACTCTCGCTGGATTTCCTCATTGTTGTAAACCTTCCAAGCAAGGGTCGTTTTCCCGAGGCCAGGCATGCCGATGAGGGGGGTGATGCTAATCTTACCAGGATAAGGATTATATGGTCGCTCGATCAGAGCTTTGATTAATTTTCTTTCCTCATCTTCCAGAACTATCATGCTGTCTCCCATCATTGGCGGTGCCTGCACACACAAGTTACAGTGTATGCTCTCTTCAGAAATTAACTCTCAACCAATGAAAGGAAAAATGAAAGAATTAATGTTGAGAACACAAGCTGTTTGCTACACTTCATTGTCCTCATCACTTCATTTTGCTACCTTTCATAGTCATGTTCAAGTTGTCTTATTCCTTTTGTAGACCATTTAGTTCTTATATCGTATTTTCAACATTGTCACAACACAAGTGATAAGTTGGGCCTACTTTTTTCTTCTACAAACATAGAATGAGCGATGTTGAGAGAAACTCTCTTCATCTCCAAAGAGAGTAAAGCCATTGCGGACCAACGACATAGACTTAGACAAATAATACGGATTATTTCCTTAAGGATATACTTGTTATTGACATAAAGAATAGTAGTATTTGCCGAACAACGCATTGTGCTAATTTTTGATTGAAATCATTTTCTTGTGCAAACAAAGGACAAAGGGTCACACAATGAGTCGCGTATTTATTTTCTCACACAACTCGTAGGAATGTAGCATTCCGTACAGGTAGCCGTGCCAACTCAATCCGCAAACATCTAAATGTCCAGAGTTTTAATTTTTATTTATTCATACATTGTGTGTTTATGTAAAAGAATTTATATGTAATGAATTTGACCATAACCAAGGACCCAATTTCAAAAAAAAAAAAAATAAATAAATAAAAATAAAACCAAAACAGTGGTTGGGATACCTTTTTCAGCCTCGGCTCGTCCTGCTTTCCTCGTCTCTGTCTCGACTTACTAGATATGCCCGACCATCTGAGCCTGTCCATGGCAGGTTTCAACTCACCTTTCCTAAGGGACCTGACATGCCGTGCCAGGTGAGCAAGGTCAGCAGGGCCGACGAGATCTCGTCTGCTGCAACCGGACATATTTTTCCAGTCTGCAGCTGCCGCGGCCAGACGAGTCACACAAGCGTCAATTGTGTCCTCAATGGCATACACAACTTTCTTGATTTGCCTTTCAACTTCTCTGACTTGTGTGGCTTTATTCGACCTTGTTGACTCGGGCTCGAGCAAAGTCTTTAAAGAGATGAGATCGGTCGCCAGCAGCCAGAGCTCGTCTTCCGTGTCGGAGCCAGAGAGAAGATCGTCATGTGACGTCAGCAGCCACGGCACGTTTTTCAGCAGGAAACTCACCGCACCATACGCCATCTCTATCGATAATTTCAATAACTATTATCAATATGAATGAGAGTACAAGATTAACTATATATTTGGCAGGCCCTAACTATTATGCCAGCCTGTACTGATTTTATTTATATGCATTACCGACATGTATTAGATTAGTCAACTGGAGACTAGTTAATAGGAACCACTTGAACAATATTTTATTTTCTTTTCTTTCTGATGAGAACAAGGTGGGCATTTTTTATTCTTACTCCATATGACCATGGAATTATTTATTTATTTAAAAATAAAAAAAAATAACTGGACAAAAATAAGAAAAAAAAAACGAGTAGAAAAAAATAAAAAGGACGTATTTGATAAATCCGTTTTTCAACAAAAAACGGATTATCTGAATACGTTTTACCTTTTAAAACGTATTACATTTAATCGTTTTACTAAAAATAATAAATTAACATAATTAATATAATTAAGTTAATTACATTACAAAAAAAACGTGTAATTTTAATACGTTTTATAATTAAAATTAATTTTTTTAATTATAAAACGGATTAGATTTATACGTTTTTCAAAAAAAATAATTTTAAAATTATTAAAAATAAAATTTTTATTATAAAACGTATTAACAAAATACGTTTTACGATTAAAACGGATTGAACTTATACGTTTTTTAAAAAACGTATTTGTGTAATACGTTTTATCTGTAATTTTTGCCCCAAAATTCATTTTGCCCTAATTTTGACCTAATTTTGACCTAATTCATAAGACGGATTCTATGAATCCGTTTTTCTCTGCAGAAAAATGCAATTTTTTTTTTTGAATCCATTTCACAACCTGTTCAACAAATCACAACCTGTTCAAGCAAGTATTATAAATCAAATCGCTCAAAATAATCCAACATAAATTATATCCAAAAACTCAACGACAATAATTAATTCAAAACACAAATATGAGTATACAAAATGAAAAGAAAATTAAATGTTCACAAAATTCCCTGAAAACAATACAAACTAATTCGGAGTGTATCGAATCGTAGGATTGTGTTGTCGTTGGCTGATCCGACGTTGTTCTTGTCGTGAAGAAGACGATGCTGTGGGCGTGACTGGTTCTTCTTCTTCTTGTTCTTCTTCACCTGAATAAATAATTTATTTAAAAATCACAATAACTAAATAAATAAAATAAATAAAATTATATTTTTGTGTTAAGTTAAAAATTTTCACCTTCTTCTTCTTGAGGCACGGGGTCGGCAGCGGGTTGGCGGTCGCGTCGTCTTCTACCTCCACCAATGTTAGGAGCAGGTCGATGCCTCGCCCGGTGTGACTGCGTCCTCTGGGATCGGACGTAGCTCTCCTGCGAGAGAACTTGGCTCGACGACGGCCCTTGTGCGACATCTCCACCTCCGACAGTCATAGAACTGTAGAGAAGGCTCTTGGCCTGTAAGACTGCGGCCTGCACCTCTGGAGGGAGTGTATGAAAGAGGTGGTCAATATTCGTTAACGTGTGATAAGCTCCCTCCATGGCGGTAGCCTAAAAATTAAATTCAAAGTCAATTAGAATGAAATGAAACACAAACAAATAATAATAATAATAATAACAATAATAATAATAATAATAATAATAATAATAATAATAATAATAGAATAAAAAACATAAATATATATTACTTACGTCGCACTTCCCCTGCTCGGCAAGTGGGCGAAAGCCTCTGTCCGGTTGGGCCACCGCGTACTTGGCAGGGTCACCGAGTAGTCTCACAGTGATACTGTGAAACCAATCAAGGTAACCCGCCTCGGGTTCAATTAATGACTCCACAGGGAATGTTGGGATAACATTTTCGGCTCTATGTTCGACCCAAGCATTCCCAAGCTCTCCGTGAAAGTCCACCCAGTAAAAAACTGCCCTCCCGGTCATCCCCTGGCCTCGATGGTGTCTCTGATATTCGGTCTCAGTCGGAATGATAGGAGGTTCGGGGATGGACTGCTGACACCCGAACTGACGGAGGACCCTATCAGGCATATGGACTTCACGGACGTTCCAGTTGAAGATCCACCCCCTATACATCCAGAGGTGTGAACCTTCTGTACACTGGGCCGGGAGAGCATTCCTTTGCAGGTGCCACTGATAGGGTAGCCATTCGAACTGAAAAATAAAAAATAAAAAATAAAAAATTATTAGGAATTAAATTATAAAAAAATTAAAACAAACAACAAATAAAAATAATAATAATAATCTTACATCCGTCTCAGTGATCCCCGTCAGTTGATCCCGGGTGGTGGCTGTTCCCTTGCCCAGGTGTGTTGTGCTCCTCTTTCCCACCCACCTTAAAAATCAGTAAAAAAAAAAAAAAATTGTAATCACAAAATTTAATAGTGGAAATAAAATAAATATTAAATATAAATAAATTTTATTACCTTCCACCTAGAGGACAATCAGAGATTCTCTCAAAGTTCGTATCCCTCATACTTGGGCGAATACGAGGGATACGTTCATATGCCCAAACCTACACATATCGACATATTCATTTGTTATTAGATATTAGTCTAAATTAGAAAAAAAAAAATTTAAAATAACAAGTAAATAAATTTACCTGAATCAGTTGGACACAGTTCTTGATCCAGTTTTCCCCGGACTTGGCGCTCGTGCAGAGCGCTCTATACACTCCGGCCAGGACCGCCGAACCCCAGCTGTACGTCTTGATCATATTGAAGTCGTGCAAAAGCTGCAACCAGTAGAGGTTCACTCCATTGCCCCTCTGGTCGGGGAAGAAGAAGGAACCGATGCACCAGAGTATAAGGGTCTTCGCCCTCGACTCGTAGGTGAAGCGATGCTCTGTATCGGCTAGTGGTCGGTTGCACTCTTCTTCTAACGCATAGATCTTCAAGTACTGGCCTGTAATGGCCCAAGTCTTGGGGTCTTGAACCGGTTCGTTGGCATTCTGAGAGTGATTTAAATATATATTAAAAATTTGTGAATGGAGTAAACAACAATAAATTAAAAAAAAAATATAATAAAAAATTTACCTGAACATAGGGCTCGAACCCTAGCTCATCATTGCAATATTCTTGCAGTTCAAGGGGCGTTTTAACTTGAGTCGCTCCCCAACAAGGTTCTCCATCGATCGGGAGACCAAAAAGGACTTGTACGTCCTGCAGCGTGATGGTGGCCTCCCCGAAGTCAAAGTGGAAGGTATGCGTCTCCGGTCGCCACCTTTCCACTAGACACGTGACGAGGCTGTTGTCGGTCATGACTCTGCCCATTCGAAACAACGGGCCAAACCCCGTTCTATCGATGGCATCCCAAACTTTGGGATGCTGGTGATCCAACGCCTTCCAGAACTAAGTGTCGAAACGACGGGATTTAATGATGCCGTCACGACATCCGCCTATATCTTCGAACAAATCACTCGACCGGTGACAGTACTGAAGATATAGAGCGGACGGATCCCTCGGACCGGGATGTACATTGAAGCGCTGCGGTTGTGAGGACGACGAAGATGCCATTGCCTGCGAAAAATAAAACTAATTAATATAATATACTACATACTACAAAAAAAATAATAATTAATCAAATTACAATTATACAATTATATTCAGAAAAAAAAAAATCACAAAAACGGAAATAAATGAAACAAACAAAACAAATGCACAAATTTAAAAATCATATACACAATTATTCGAAAATAATCTTTATCGACAATTCGACTCCAACAATTCAACTTCCGACAAAATAATCCCTAAACATATTATATAAATTGACAACTAAATTCACCTCGTCACAATCATCACAAATTCACAATATGTCAACAATATGTACAACAATCCCTTTGAGGCATTTTATCGAACACGTTCAAATCATATATTTCCAAACAAACTACAAAACCCTAATCAATTTCCAAATAACCAATGAATTTATCACCAAACATATATAATCTAACAATCCATCAACATATTTCAATCCATAACTCAATCCAATTAAAAACCCTAAATTTAGCCCTAATGTGAAATTATTGAAACAATTGAAAAAATGAAAGAGTAATAGAAGAAACGTACCTAATAGACGGGAAAAAGGCGCGGTGGCAGTGCAATAGGCGGCGACGGCGCGGCGGGCGACGGTGCGGCGGGCTGAATTTTTTTTTTTCTTCTTCCTGAACTCCCTCTTCCTCTCTTGCTCTTTCTTTCTTTCTCCCTTTCTCTCTGTTTGTTTTCTGTTCGCGTAGGGAAGAAGAGGAATTTTTTTTGGTTTTATTTATTTGTAAAACGGATTTGCTGAATCCGTTTTACCGTTCGATTTATTTATAAAACGGATTCCCGGAATTCGTTTTTCTGTTTTGATTAATTAAAAAACGGATTCCGGGAATCCGTTTTATAAATGCCAAAAAATGATATCGAGGTTCCCAGATTCGGGACTCAAACCCGGGATCGGGTGAGTCCGTTATCTCTGGGGGCTCCTCATTACCATTAGGCCGCGCTAGGCTATCGCTGATATTTTTGCAGAGGTTTTATTCTTATCCTTTAACATCAATATTTTTTATAGTATACAATTAAAGTATATATTATACAATATACATTATATATATATATAGTATATAGTACATATTATTAATTTATAGTATAAAATATAATATATACTATATAGTATAATTAAAGTCAAATTAGTGCAATTAAAGTCAACTATAGTGAAATCGAACTCGAATTAGTGAAATCGATCTCGAATTAGTACAATTAAAGTCAACTATAGTGAAATCGAACTCAAATTAGTGAAATCGATCTCGAATTAGTACAATTAAAGTCAAATTAGTGAAATCGAACTTGAATTAGTGAAATCGATCTCGAATTAGTACAATTAAAGTCAAATTAGTACAATTAAAGTCAACTATAGTGAAATCGAACTCAAATTAGTGAAATCGATCTCGAATTAGTACAATTAAAGTCAAATTAGTACAATTAAAGTCAACTATAGTGAAATCGAACTCGAATTAGTGAAATCGATCTCGAATTAGTACAATTAAAGTCAAATTAGTACAATTAAAGTCAACTATAGTGAAATCGAACTCGATTTCACTATAGTTGACTTTAATTGTACTAATTCGAGTTCGATGTCACTAATTCGAGTCTAAATGTACTAATTCGAGATCGATTTCACTAATTTGAGTTCGATTTCACTATAGTTGACTTTAATTGTACTAATTTGACTTTAATTGTACTAATTCGAGATCGATTTCACTAATTTGAGTTCGTTTCACTATAGTTGACTTTAATTGTACTAATTTGACTTTAATTGTACTAATTCGAGTCTAATTGTACTAATTCGAGTTCGATTTCACTATAGTTGGCTTTAATTGTACTAATTCGAGTTCGATTTCACTAATTCGAGTCTAAATGTACTAATTCGAGATCGATTTCACTATAGTTGACTTTAATTGCACTAATTTGACTTTAATTGTACTATATAGTATATATTATATTTTATACTATAAATAAATAATATGTACTATATACTATATATATATATATAATGTATATTGTATAATATATACTTTAATTGTATATTATAAAAAAATATTGATGTTAAAGGATAAGAATAAAACCTTTGCAAAAATATTAGCGATAGCCTAGCGCGGCCTAATGGTAACGAGGAGCCCCCAGAGATAACGGACTCACCCGATCCCGGGTTCGAGTCCCGACTCAGGGAACCTCGATATCATTTTTTGGCATTTATAAAACGGATTCCCGGAATCCGTTTTTCAATTAATTAAAACAGAAAAACGGATTCCTGGAATCCGTTTTTGTTTAAAAAATTTCTAAAACGTATTTAACAAATACGTTTTCTACTGGGAATGAAAAAAAAAACCTGTCCAAATACATATTGTAACACCCAAACAAACCTGTTCTAACAATCCAAAACAACAAGAAAAATGAAAATGCACAATCTAAATCAAAATACCATGAAAACCAAACTTACAGTAAATACCATTCAAATAATTCAAAACAAATCATCCAAACAAATTCAAACAATCCAACCAAATCCAAATGAACTCTCCAAACAAATCCGAATAAACACTAGCAAATCTAATTTCCCCATTCATCACGAAGTCTAGACCTGTCGGTGCGAGGATGTGAATACGGACATTCATCTACAACATGATTTGGATTACCGCATCTAGTGCACTGTCCCCTATCCCTCCTGCGGCGTCCCCGACGATCCATTTGCATGCGATATCGTCTCGTTTGCACGCGACCGGGTCCAGGCTTCAAGATCATCCTCTCCCAGTGCGGTATCAATTTCCACTCGACCGGCTCCCATGTATCCGGATTACCAATCGGAGCAAAACTCCAATTGCTAAATTGAGCTACCCAGTTCTCCGTCCAAAAAAACTCACTGAACAACAGTTTTGGGTCAGTCTCAACTGAACGACAGACGGCTAACGCATGAGAGCATGGTTTCCGACGCGTCTGCCACTTCCCGACAACTACAACGTTTTCGGTTGTAGTCTACCTTATACCTGTAATAATTCCCCAGTGATTTATATATATACAATATGAACAAGTTTAATGGACAAACAAAAAAGTAAAAAAAAATACTTACAAGTTTTGTCCTCTTCCACTCGCTCGTAAACCGGTTTCCACTTCGTACATGGAGCTCTCGGCGTCCCTAACATGAACTCTATGAGTGGCGCCTATCTGCTCCAATTGCAAATATGCGTTATAGTGCTCCGTAGCAATGGGAGTCCTGCATCTCGTGGACTTGTTTTGTTGAACAAATCTAGAGTTTTATGCAATGTGGCATCTACCAAAGCTCTGCACGGCAGAAACCTAACCCCTTTCAGCACGTTATTGTAACTCTCCGACATGTTCGTGGTCAATGTGCCCCATCTGCGTCCTCCTTTATCTTTTAACTGGGTCCATTTCTCCAAAGGAATTCGAAAAAGGTAATTGTGTGCCTCGGGATTCAATGCCAACAGTCGTTGTTCTGTCTCTCGAAACTTTCGCTCCGAGAACTGAGAACCCAATTCCCAACACCAAGTCCGAATTTTCTTACTCCTGAAATTAGTCACCACGTTGCTTCGAAGGTGTCGAAGGCAAATCCGGTGATACGCAGCGGGTTCTTGCCAATCTGGTAATGATTCAATGGCACTGAGTAGGCCCGCATCCCTGTCAGAAAGAACGCAGATACGTCTCTGGAAGACTACATGTTGCCGTAGATTCCTAAGGAAAAATGACCAACTGTCCGTACTTTCTTCATCGACAAGCGCAAATGCGACCGGCAATAACCGCTTATTCGCAGTCTGTGCCGTGGCCACGAGCAATTTTCCCTTGTAGGATCCACGCAAATGTGTGCCATCGACGCTAATAACTGGCGGGCACCTTCGAAAAGTTTGAATGGCGGGACCAAACGCCCAGAATACGAATTTGAATTGTTTGTCTCGAAGTTGTTGCGCCATTTCACCACCCTGCCATTCCCACTCTACAACTGTGGAGGGATTCGTTCTTTGAAGCGCGGCAAAATACCTACACATTACAAAACAGTTTCATAATAAATAGATAAAAATAGCGACAGGCAAACAACACATATATTTGCAATTAATTTTTGCTTACTGAGGGAGTTCTGCAAAGTTCGATTCCCAAGTGCCATATACACTCTCGATGGCTTTTCTCCTTCCGTGCCATGCCTTCTTGTAGCTGACATCCACTTTCCAGCACTGTTTCACATCAGCCTGGATCATGTCGACGCCGTACTCCACTTTCTTTCGAATCTTATTACGAATGAGATTTGAAATCATTTGGGCGGTTACATTTCTGTGGTCATTTCTCTCGATCGGTTGCATACAAGTGTGTCTGTCAGTCCATTCAGTTAGTTCCCACATTTCATGAACCCGCCTGGACTTAGTCACCCGAGCCTTCCACACACAAGGCGGATCTCCACTAGATCTGCAGACCACTTTGAATGACTTTTGATTTGAATCATTTACCCGAATCTCCCGCAATCTATCGACGTTCCAACCCGTTAAAGCCATTTGGGCTTCTTGCTTGCTCCGAAAAACCATACCCAAACATATGGTCTCAATGTCGCCATTCCAGCGTCGAATAGCATACTCGTCCGCATCTATCCTGGACGGGTCCCATTCACCCATCTCGCGGTATACGTGCCGACCACCACTAGGAAAGGGGAATTCTTCTTCAATGAACTCGGCTTCACTCTCCTCATTCACCGATCTATCTGATTCGGTTTCTGAGGTCTTGTCTGTGAAATCATCTTCACCGAGTGCGAACTCTTCGTCACTTTCTTCCCCGTTCTCATTTTCCCTTTCTCTAATTGGTGAGCTTGTCCCTTCTCCAAAATTACGTAGATGAGAAGTCGACGTGCCATCATCCATTCCCCCGTAATAAGGAGTAAAATCCTCAAATTGTGTGACCGGTGTAATTGCCTCCAACGATAAATGCAAATACACAACGGACATAGGTTCATATCCATAAATCCA